CGCTCTTCTGATTGTCGACGATACTTTACACTCTGTGAGGACGCGATTCGCTAAGACCTGCAGGGTTAATAATCTCATCGCACTATCCCCAGAGGCCTCTTCAGCCGAAAAATGACCGCGTCGATGCTCTTCTAAGAGGATGGACCGTAGCAAGCCTCGACATAAGTTCCGGTGGACACCGGTGCTCCCCGGCACGATATGTTCTGCGTGGTAAGAAGGCAGAAACTTCGGAAAACTGCCAGACTCTAGCCGCGTTTCGGTGAAAACCGATACCGGACTCCGCCTCTAATCTTCTGGAGGGATTGGGCTCGTGATCGGCTACGGTGGTTTAATAGCGTCACTGTTGAGGAAAAAACTGCCAAGAGATTTATTTTGACCGACTTCGACGTTCGAGCCTAACGACTACTGTAACCTTCTGTCGGCTTTAGAGACTTTCCTAGCTGCCATAGCTTTGCAGTAGCAATGTCTCTCGGTGTGAATACTAGTAGAAGCTTTGCATGATTAAATATCCTGACAGCACAAGTACTAGCTACAAGCCCAAACACGTTTTGCCAATCTTCTACCTCCGTGGTAGCTGCGGGGCTTCGGCTCATCAGTGGGATGTCCCGGCGCTCCCTTTGTGCTTTCGCGTGCGTGAACTCCAGTCTTACGTATCGAGGCAGTTGCTCCAAGCTGGCGCAATAACTTATGAGAAAATTAAACATCTGAAATGACAGGAATCTATATGCGCATCCCGACTGCATTCTAATGGGTTAAGCACAGCACCACACCAAAAACAAGCGCCTGATCCCGACTCCAGTCTTCTTGACTCAGTCTTAACACAGGGCGCGGGTGATTAAGGGAAGGGAAAGTGCGGTAGATCCAATACAAATTTACTATTTCTTAAAAATAATCCAGGCGTAAGTCAGAGCCCATACATCATTACGTTGTGTAGCAAATCGTGAGCACCGACGGTCTAACTGTTATCACCGGGGCAGTGACGATAGTAGAAATTACGAAGAAGAGCCTAAAGATGAAGAGGCAGCCGAAGGGAGAATAAGAACTGTAGACTACCAATGGTAAAGATGGAAGGAGTCAGCGGTAAAGGAACGGCGCGATAATGACTGTTAGATAGAGTAATGCGACTGAAAGTCAAAAAGATAGCTAGCCCTACAGAGTTGGTGAGAGTCATCAAAAAGGAAAGATTCACTTTGAGCACCACGACCGTACCAATTACTGGAATGGTATTAAACTGAGTGACGTCGACACTGTGAGATTCAGATGGAGCGACCAAATGATATTAAATTAAGTAGACTCAGCCCTCGGACCGGTGCTCGGTTACGTGGAAAAAAAAGTTTAATCATGAATTAGTCGTTATGTGGATTTGTCGATTATGGTAGTGGACACTAGTACTGGACCATGGTGCTTCCTTCAGCAACAGCCTTCAATGTTGCTATCACGCTGTTCTAAAGAGCTTTCAATAGGATGGCGCACTGCACGGTTAGAGCGCAGATACCAGGTCATGAAGCGCTTGCTAGATTCGAGAATATTGACTACGTATTTGCGACGAGAGTTTGGCCATCGTTAGCTACGACGTCCGCCGCGTGTCCCACAGA